TTCAATTCTTAGCCGGAACATCTCATTGACTGGGGTGCGGTTAAATTCATTTAACGAATCCACTTCTAGCCAACAAGTAAACGACAATATAAACCAGCAGAGGTTTGCAAATCTCTTGACTAGTGTCTGTCATGTAGTAAATAATGGTCATAACATTGGGTTAGTTTAATTTATTTTACACAGAGAGACAGTAGTAAAAGTGAAGCAATTCTTTACTGAAGATTCAGTTTTGCTTCATTGTTTGGAAAAAGGCCTGAAATCAATCTTTTTGAAAAAGGATTAAGCATAAAGCTTTTTCAATCAAAATAAGAAACAAGTGAAAACAATCTTTGCCTGACAGAAATGAAATGAATACGATTTATTCCTTTTATTTAAGTGAAATTTTATTTAGAGATAAATCATTTGTAAATTATCAGACGAATATATAGGCACAAAGAAAAATGTTCCGACTGAGAATTTAATCTCAACAGAAACTATCATACCGACTTCCGAAATTTGACTTTGGTTCTACAAGATCAGAGGTATTTCACAGGAAGTCCTCTATCGATTTGATTATTTCTTTTTTCATACTTTTCAGAAATGCGCATCCGCCCTTTATAGGAGATTATTAATGTTTTAGGATTAAAACATGCCTTTTGCGGTATTTAATTAACAAACGATATCAAACAATGCGATGTTGTACCGTCTTCAGTGTTAAAAAACTCTTTGATAGTAATCTATTGTTTTTATAGCTTGACAAACAGCTGAATTTTATGTAATTCAAATGAAAATGGCAAGCGGAAGAGAACATGTTTTTTTCTGCGAGCCACGTGGTGTACGTATAAAATTTGTAGCATGTGTTTTAAGTTATAACCTGCTGTCAAGCGTTCCTCTGTTTACCCTGAGGGGTCGTGGAAGACACCTGGCACTGGAAACTCCTAGAACAGCGTAGGAAAACCACTGGAACTAGATTTTAGTGTCTGGAAACCCTAAGAACGACCATTCAAGTAAGAACTGCTGCATTCAGGATCACTTGTTAAGTCCATTTACCTTATCTTTGACGCGGCAAAAAAATTTCATGAGTTATGACAAAGATTGGATTGTAAGCTACTTGCATAGAGTTGAATTAACTGCGAGAGGTCTAACTTTTGAGTGTGTTTCCTAATTCATTATGTACCTAGCAAGGAGAAACTATCTGGTTCTGTCTTTCACCCTCCCAGCTGCTACAAGAAGAAATCTTGACAGCAAGATTGTTTTTTGAACGAGGTTTGTGTAACTCTGCAACAAACAATGGCTGAAGTGCTACAGTGGGTTGTGGAACGCTAGTTATGTCAACAGGATTTCTGATAAATGTTGCTGAAGTTTCTTCACTGGAGTGGTACCAGCACTACAGATATACTTGTCCCATAATAATATGCAGGCTAGAAGTGAAGAGTGGTGGGGTAGACAATTTGGTTGAAGTATAGGAATGTCTTGTTAGGAAACGTAACTGTATCCAGGAGAAAATGACTTAAACAGGACTGAGTAAGTTGCACACATATGTCTTGACAAATCATAAATTCTTGGTATATACTTTTAGTCAAAAACGGATAAGTCAAAGGAATCCATCATACAAGTTATAAAAAAAATGGGCAGAATTGGGCACTGCAATACGCACAGAAGCCTGGAAGTCGTTCATGTCCTTATTCGACAAGTCATAAGTCACGAAAAGCACCTCGTTCATCTGACAAATGGAGTGCTGATAAACAACTTTGAGAAAATATAAACAGTCGTCTTAGGAGCTTTCTAAAACCTTTACTAGGGTAAAGAGGCGATATATTATGGTCTCATATGGCTGAGTAGCAATACAGACAATGGAATGGTTTCTAAAATAATAGACGTATTAAAATTCTAGATATCTTTACTTCTCATGCAAAACAGATGTAAGAACTGTAAATAAAGGGCCATTTTCCCTAATAATTAAGTTGTTTATCGTATAAAGTATATTTTTGCTTATGTAATCCTGGCGTAGTATATTAGAACAAATAATAAAATAAACAAATATTTTGTATTCAAACCATCTACTTCATTGTTAGTAAGGGTACCTTCAAATTACGTTGTTCTTCATTTACTTTATTTTGGATGGTCAGTCAGTATTTCAACTTTATTAGCCATCTACAAAGTTTAGTTCTATTCAAAAGCCTTATGGTTTTACTTTATTGGCATGCAGCATTCGTGTATGACTAAGAACACTGGCTTTTTAGGTTTCATGAAATGAAAAAGTCGAATTGATTATTTCAGTAGTAGAACAATGATCTCACTGTCTGCGGTCTGTTGGACGTTGAATCAAAAATATCCAACTTTACAACAACTATTAATATAACTTTACAGCTTGAGAAGGAAGTGGCTGAAGAAAATTACTGTTTGACTGATAGAAATTATTTTCAATCTTATTCATTAATAAATGGATATATTTCGTCAATATTCTACTAATTGCTAAGATGGATGACCTTCATATTTACTACAATAAATTTAGTTTTAATATTATATTAAATTTTTCAATTGATCGGCTTAATCTGTCATTGATTTACCGGTTTTCATACAGGTTCAGCATTAGGAACAATAGCACAGGTAATTCTACTATTCACTAGCACACATTGTTGGTGAATTTCAACTTTGTCATCAGTTTTAAAATATGCACATATTTTGATATGGATGCCTATTGTAAAATTATAACGAAGCTGTATTGAATATTGAACACATGAGGCAGACTGCTAACTAAAATATTCCTACTCTCTCTTTATATATATATATATATATATATATATATATATATATATATATATACACATATGCATCTGATCAGCAGTGTTCACCGTCAATTAATTAGTGTCATATATTGTACAGTTTATTATACTTTTCTAGGATAGAAGCCTTGTATCACCTTGAAAATTATTTAAGGATGCATTTTGCGAACACTTATCTAATTGCATACTTTCTACTCCTGAGCTTATTTTGAAAGTGTCATTAATTTATCAACAGTTTAGAGTACGAAAGTGGCTTAGGCAGATTAACTTTAGGCCGCATCAATCTAGAGATTCTAACATAAATGCACATAGCATCATTCTGTTAAGGTGAGTCAAAGGAGTTGAAAAAAAAGAAGAATGATAAATTCGCTTGTTAGAAGATGTCCACTCACTAAGCAAGATGATTGTTGCTTTATATACAGTCTAGACTGATTACAATGTAGCGCTACTGCTTGTACTGTCGTTGGTTGGAGCGAGTTGATCGGTCTCTGTTTGCATATAAGCTCCTGTGCGGATTCCTCGATATGCCCATGTAGTTATAGTTATAGTAAAGATGGATTCCGATGTAGTTACCGAATTCATAAGCTGTTGGTTGATCCACTGAAATATTTTACAGTTAGTGTTTTCCGCCAAAGGCTTCATTCGTTATGGTACTTATTAAAGCAAAACATGACGGCAATTTAGTGCATTCTGGATTTCAATAGTTCTCCAGCTAATTTCCATCTTTAGTGTTAACTTTTTAGTCATAATATTAGGACTAAAGTAAGTATTAAAAAAATAAAAAAACCCTGAGTGGTACAGTAAACTTGGGAAACGCATATGACATGTAGTACCAAATTGGGAAACCAGCCGACTATCTAGGTATAAATGAAATTAGATGCCAAGCAAATGTGTAAACGAAATGTTTGAAAACTTGTAGACACAGTAACTCACTGAGTCCTTCATGACTAGCTCACGCATTACTCACCTGAAATTGTTCCGTTTCAACCATTTGTTTAATACAGCTCCGGATATAATTGTAAACAAAAATAATCTTGAATGCTTGGCTTATTCGTACAGCCTGGTCATCATAGGTCACAAAATCTCCATTTCGCTACTGTTCTCAAAACGCATGTTTCTTGGAATTTAGTAGGTTACTTCAATATGCAGTACCTTCAGAAGTGCTCAGTGAAAAGGAAGTTCCGCCAAAGGATAGAAGCTAAAGAACTAGCAAAACTAATTATTCTGTTGCTTTTCATATCAACCACACTCAGTCGACCTAAAAGTCACAGAAATGGTTTACTGCATACCATTTTTTCTTCAGTACGTCTGGTATTTTTCACGGTAAGGAATCTCTCTAGGTACTTTAGAATCGTATCAAAGCTGCACGATGCAACGTCTGACGAATCCTTTGGAATTGATCAGTAGCATTGATTAAATACCTGAAGGGTTCAAGAGTAGACTGCAAGAGTTACACACAAGTATTTGATTTCAGGTCGTAAAGATTCCCATCCTTATTATTTGGATTGTGACCAATGTCAGCATAAAATCCATATGCATACTATCCATTATATGAGTGTAGGCAGGATGATAACAAAGGTAAGGGCGGCTGAAATAAATTTTGCTATCTCAAGGGATACTTTTGACTGCTTACATACTAAAATAAGTTAACTGACAGAAAAACTGCTTACAAGATAGTGGTCATTTTGGAGAACAGGTGAAAACCTAGGATCACTGGAGAGCTGATTAGTCTAAGTATTGAACTTATCATTAATGACAGCCTATCACCCTAGGAATGATCTGAGTCAGGACCATCGGATCTCGTGATATGTCTCCTACTCACCAGTGATATGCTTTCAGACGGATTTCCTGAAGTTTTAGTGAGAAGCTGGCGGGACAACCAAGTCAGGTGGCATTAGATAACGTTCGCGCTGTATCGCGAACTGACAGAAATGTGAACCTCTAGGATTCAAACCAGTGGTTAAATGGTAAGATGCTTGTTGCAGAACCTGATGATCACGCGTTGGATTTCTGTTTGTGTTACACAATGCTGAAGAGTCTAATATTAGAAAGAAGTAACTATTCTCCGAAAGGATAACATTCTTCGTGAAATGTTATCCAATAGTTTATACAGTTTCACTGCATGCAATGAACATGTTCTACTCTTACATTAAAGTCCAATTACAGTTGCATGGAAAATGTGTAGGCAAATTGAATAATTGACTGCGTATTTTTTGTTTTTGATCTTTTATCTAGCATAGATAAGTGTCATCTACTTCAGCATACTACACGTATATATGACAATGCTGGTTACCTGGAGTTTCGTGGAGGTGATGCGATAGAGGTCTCCCTCCCTCAACCTGCCCCAGTGAGTTGCTGATTATTTTTGTTGTCACTGAATGTTTCTACATAACTAGCTTTCCTAATCAGCTGTCCTCCCTTGGATACAACCCTTATAAGTACTTTTTTGTGAGTGGTTACCAGTTAAACTGACCCGCAGTACATAACTGTTCTTTTACATCCAAATGGAAGACGACCTTACACTCATTATCTAGTGACGAAACAATACTCTTACATTTATATCATAGGTTAGTCCTTATATATTCTCAAAACACTTACCTTAGCGCTGAAATAGATCTTTCCCAGCTAAAGTGACTGGCTGAAAAATTCGCTAATGGATTAGTGAAATCCTAAAGCGGATATAAATTGGACTCTTCCAATCGTTTTACAAAGGCTTGTCCGGCTTGTGGATGAAATGCTTTCAGAAAGACGTATGAATTGTTTGAGCTTAATTTATAATGTAATCAATCCTAACTAGTACACTAAGGCTGAAGAATAAGCGATAGAAATTACGAGATCATTACAGTGATACACACCTCTTGGAACATACGCAACTTCTGTGTTCAAGTTTGCTAGAATTAATTGGTTTATGCCACACAAAATATTTTCAGTTTAGCGGCAAACTCTGCAAACAAATGAATAGAAAACCAATGGATCGCCTATATCAAGACTAGTTGTAGAAGCCTTAATCCAAAGATCGGAAACTCTGGTATTGTAGTTGATCAAACCAAAACTTTGGATCCGATATGTAGATGATACGTTTGTCATAATTAAAAGAAACGAACTGAAAAGCGCTTATAAACTAATTAACAACTGAGGAGAAATGAAATAAAATACGTGCATTTTTAGGTGTTCTGATAACTAAAACGAAGTTAAGTTGATTGGAAAATGAAGTATACAGGAAAACAACTCATACAGATCAAATCCCCAAATACTACAGCAACACTCCAACAGCACACAAAATTGGTCGGTTCAAACATTGTTCAAAAGAGTGGAGACAAACTGTAGTACATCAACTTTGCAGAGGAAAGAAAAAAACTATTTCATGATGATTATCCAGAAGAACGGTTATTCACTCAACCTAATCAAAAGACGGTTAAACAGTTCGTCATCAACCTAGAAGTCAACCTCAACAAACGGACCTTCCCCCTCTACATGAAGAAAGTCTCCAAGATCATGATCAGATTACTGAGGCCTTTTGGGACCACTTTGGCTCACAAACCCACAAACTTTCTTCACCCTGTGTTTTGCGTCCTAGTTTGATGGCTGCATTATAAATGGAGTGGTAGACTTGGGTTGACACTGAGGACTAGACAACATGAGACTGGTCGTTCTCCAGTGGCCAGCTGATGTCTAAAATACCTGTCTCAATGTGCCTTTTCTAAATGGCTTAGAAACCACTCATCAAGTCACGTATATGTGCAGGTATGGAACGTTAGCTCCAACTACCGAAGTTATGCAGATTTCTGAGTTAGTTGTGGCCGTCAACGACAATCTATTACAGCTATAAAATCTTACTATAATAGCGAGAACTGACACACCAAACAGCTCATTCCTATGTGTATCCTTTAGTGCTAGTATTTCTTCGGACGTCCAGTGGCATCAGAAGTTCTACACATTGAAGTAACTGCTGCAACTACCGCCTTATAGGTCAACAAACCAGCCAATTGGCAAAATCGATAAAGCTCTTGGTTTCAAGATACATATTTAGTCCAGTGTTATAATGAAATAGTTTTGAAAGGAATAGTTTAATAGTTAAGTCTTTGGCCTCAGCACTAAGTGACATGGGTACGAATCACCATAAGAAGAGTTTCCTTATGGTTATACATAAACCTTATTGATCAGTACCGGCAAGCAAGAAAGGTAGGTAGAACAGTGTTTCTTTCTCATTGACTTTCAACATCTATTACATTTTATTTGTCAGGTTTCTCACAAAAAACGCAATACTTTGTAACTTTAATCTATCTTTTGATTCTTTATTTCCATATTTCACGTTCTTATTTGCCTAAATTAAATATTGTTTTGACTGTTAAAAGTATTTTGTCCACTGACTGTAATTCATCCTATATAGTTTATTGCGTTGGTGAAATATTCATCAGTGTTCGACGCTTATGAAGAATCGAGTTAGAACCATCCTGTTAGAATTGATGAATCTTTCCAAGCTTAAGCGATGCGTTGATTGACCTAGACATGTGCATCGTACCAAATAACCAATAAAAATATTGATAGTTCTATAGGATTTTGCTCCACTAGGAAGAGTCAACCAAATATAAGATCCATGTTGTTTTTGAAACCTCAATACTTTTCTTTGTCTATTTTAGGTATCCGTTTAAGAGATTAAACAATATGTATTTCATAGAAATTCAGTTGGACTGATATGTTTTCAACACCAAACTTTATAGTGTAAGAGGAAGCAAAATACACCTAAATCCTAGTTATGACCGATTCTGGTTTACACCTGTACCAAAATTATACTTAAAATTTCGTTAGTAAACTTGGTTTTGTAATGGGTGACAAAATGAATATTTGCTTAGTTAGTTTACTGAATAGAATTCGGTCAGTAGTATGTTGAGTCAGTTGGAATTCTGAATGAATGCAGTCCTTTTACGTAGTAAACATTACACAGAGTAGCTGTTAAGCTTCATTAAATGGATAAAGTAAAGAAGGATCTTGAATTCAAACCACTTTCCCTGAGCACATCTTTATTCTGTGAATGTGAAACGATATTGAGGGGTTAGCTTTTTACACTGTATGCGACAATCTAAAACTGAAAGTAAAGTGAATAGATTATTTTAAACTCAGGCCAAATACCTAAAATTTTTCATAATCAGTGGCTATAACATTTAGACGGCCTGACACATAAGGTAGATTTGGTTTCAGGATACCAGCGAACATTATTTCAAGGTATATGCATGGCAGACTCACTTTGTTACACTGCTTTCAATTACTATACCACAAATGTGAACCATACTTATAAAAACGGGTGCTTGGTAAGCTGTATCTAGTTGAATACATAACAAACATTTTGTGAGAGGTAAAACTCAGGCTAGCTCTTTAAGGATAGTAGTCATTAGTCTATAATAATTCTTTATCCTGAAGATCTCTTTAATTGTTCTATCTTCTCTTAAGTGTGTCAGTTGATGACATAGGCACTATTTTTGCTACCAGTTGACTCCAGGAGTTGATTAATGGACACGAAAAATCTGTACTTCAAGGGGTAATGTTCTTCTTTGCGTTTGAACTCTTCTGTTATGTCCCTTGAAGCTCTCCAGGCTGATAGAAAGAAATAGCATAGATCATGTCCAAAGTTATTTCTGAAAATCCTGTATATCATAATCAGATCTCAACTGTGTCGGAGATATGACAAACATAACCGTTTCAGCTTCTTACATCGGTCTTCATAAGTCAAGCTTCCTATCGCGGGGATCATAGGAGTGTCTGTACTTTGAACTCGTTTCAAAAGATCTGACTCACTCTTCAAACAGAGGTCTGCTACTTGTGCAGAGTTATCTAGTTTAGGTCTAAATAAGGAAATATGTAAGATAGCAGACATATCTCCTCCTGTCTTTCTACAACTTTCGTGTAATGCTCAAAGTGTCCTGAAACTCCGAGTTACAAATACTTGACTTTATGCTGTGGTTTCGAATTTATATCTACTGTGGCTCCCAGATCACTGTGGGCCAATGCTGAGGGTAGAAAAATTCCATGCATATCGCAGATGTTTTTGTCAGCATACTCCATCTGTCTGCTTGTACATTAATTTGTACTGACAAGCATCAGCCATTTCTATGAACAGGTTAACAAACTCTATAAGTCTGTCTGAATTGTACATATATCTTCTGCATTTCATATTTCTCGTCGGGTTTTTACATCATCAGAGTAGAAAAGCAAGGGGGATTTCGTGGTATTCAGCAGGAGTGCCTCTGGGCACTCCACTCTGTACTGACTTCCAAAAAGAAATTCAGGAATCTGTCCTTGCTTTTTATCTCCTACCAACAAAGAATTCCGTAATTCAGGCAAGAATACCACCGGTGATCTCGAAACTTTTCAGTTTCACGAGAAAACCGCAATGAGGTATCTTGTCGAAAGTTTGTGAGAATGACATCTACAGGTTACTTACAATCTCTAGGCCTAACCGAACTTTCTCTTGGTGGAAGATGGTTTGTCAAGCCAGAGAAATTTATAGGGAAGTCATGTTGTGAAAGTGATAATGAGCCGTTGTCCTTCAGATGGAATATTATGCTTTTCTTGGTTACTCTCACTAATACTTAAGTGGTAGAGATAGAAGATTACAAACATGAAATGGTTAGATAATAGCAAAGGTCCTAAAACACGATGGTAACGGCAGAGAATCTAATGGGTAAATAACGGTAAAAAGTAACTCAACTGACGCATTAGTCATTCAGATGCCGTTATATCTAACTGAAAAATCGTAAAGAAAAACGGAGCTTACGTCTTAGATGCAGTTGTTAGCCAGTGCTAACTAAATTATTCACAGATATACGATTCATAAGACCACTGAATTAAACCCTAGGGAGGTTAGATTGCCTTTAGACTAAACAAAAGAATCATTTAATTTAAAATTATATACTCAATCAATGTAAATTCATACTTTACGAACTTAAAAATTTCATTAAATTTTTTTTCATAAACATGATGACAGCAGTATAAATGTAGAAAATATTTTAACTGATTACTGTCAAGAAAACAGGTTCTTGATTAGTTTTACCTGGTTTATTTATTTTTATGATCAGAATGATCTATCCTATTACCTTCCCAGTCTTCTGTAGTGTAATTGTCACTGACAACCAGCAATCCTTTCCTCAATAATAGTGATAATGTGATGAAGTCACAGTCAATAAGTGTGTTCAGTGAACTCGAGATTTGAAGAGTTTAGATGGACTTGATACCGATATCGACATAGATTATAATCTACACACTTTCCCGGCTCTTCTAAGTCATTTAAATCCAACGATACTGAGGCACTATTCAGTGTCCATACAAAATTCTCAGCCAACCAATAAGACTAAGGATGATATATGGATATGGGGACATGATGTCAACCAACGTGTTTAAGCCAGTCAATGAAATGACTTCGATTATCCCATTGGATATTCTTATGTGACTGAAAATCATCCTCATCGTTCTGTGTAAACATTGCAGTAGGATTGTCCGTTTGTCCATTTGGAATAAGAGTACACGGGAACTAAGTTATACCATTAGTTAGGGGAGGGATCGCAATAAACTGTATGAGTATGCTGCCATATCTTAAAAGACTCAAGGTTTGAGTTCATAACGACTTACCACATGATATTTTATGCAGATAGTCGGAAACACCTTTTGATGTCCTCATAATATCAGAATCAATTTCCTGTCACTAAGATATTGGTTGCAGCAATGATTTCAGTTTCCCGGCTCCTAGGTAGGTGGGATGAGGATCACGTAACATAGCAAGTCCTAATGTCAAAGGAATAAACATTTTCTCATTTAAATACAGTAATCCTTCAGCATACAGTGATATTTCATCTCCTTCTTTTTGGAAGTCAGAGAATCTACAATCACACTGGGTATTCTGACCCTTCTTCATTGCATTATTGATACTATCACAGTTCTTCTGAGTACCCTGTATGAGTAGTATTCTCTCAGCAGGTAGGGGCTCCACCAATACACAATCAGTATCTACAGCAGAACTCTATTATGTTAAATAACGCGACAGGAAATCAGCATAAGGTATACCTCTAGCCTGTCTGCGATCAATCGAATAGTATAAACATTCAGTTCAAAATTCCATTTCTGATGCATAGCAGATGATCTGTTTAGAGATTTATCTGGGTGGTGGGTGAATTTCAAAGCTTGATGATCGGTGACAGTTTGAATTTTCGAACTAATCACATACTTATGGAGAGGCCTTACAACCTAGATGACTGCTAATGCTACCTTCTGGGTTTGAGAATATTCATATATCTCGAAATACAAATGGCATTTTACTCCAGTACTGCAGTTACGCCCACTGGAATGATCGAAACGTACTTTGGAAATTCTACTTCTATCTAATCTCCACCAAGTCAATATATCTGGATGGAACTTGACACACTGCTGAATTATTTCCGTAAAATAAGTCCATATATCTACGGAGGTTAACCAGTTTGCTTTGGTATGAAAAATGGAAGTCACACGTATCAGTCAATAGAATAGGTGATCCTCGTTGCAAAAGAGGTGACTGCCATCGCAGAGTAATCTGCTGGATCAACTCTGACTTCTGGAATAATAGAAGGTTAATTTAAAATCTCACTAGGTTGCTACTACATCCAGCCGACGAGTCCTGGATAGTGCGGAACACTCATCCTGGATTTCACTGCTATTCACCTTCAAGGAAATCATGAAATAACAAAGAATATTTATATCATACATGAATTGTAATAGTCGGTCAGTCCAGCAGCTTGGTTCACTCGGTATACGTAAACCAAACTTTACCAATCACTTTCCTGCCTTTAGTTTGGAGTAGATATAGAGCTCAATGGACTGTTAACTTGGAAAGACACTTTAAGCACGAAGAAGTTTACCTACACAACAGAACCAACAGGAATGGAAAAGAAGTTAGTGACTACTCATAATAAAATATCATAAGAAACTTGGCAAGGTATAAAGGGACAAATTTCTGATCAGTACGATGATACACGAGACCAACTTCAGTATAGGATCTATGTACAGGTTATTCCTGGTATATTTTTGAGGAGAATAAGAAAAAAGGTGATGAAGATGGAAAAGAATTCTTAACTTTTAGAGGGAATATTTCACTGGTTACTTTCTAAAATAGTTTCACTTACACGAAAGTATTCCGCTACTTTTGTCACTTTGGCAACAAAAGACTGAAGGAAAAAATATGTAACACTGATTTAGCCACATTTTGAATCATCAGAGAGGGAGTAGATGAAATCACTCGAAAGGTTAGTAATTCAAGGATCATCCTCTAATCAGAAAAATTATGGTAAAAATTGACTGTGACAGCACTAATGAAAGTGATTCTGGTGATTAAGATTGCTAAGTGATTTCCAGTAGATTAGATGATTGCATGAAAACAGGAATAAGATATTGTGAGAAGTGGCATTGAGCGACCTTGAACCGGAGAATAACGAGGAAAGGTGGTGTGTGAAATAATAAAATAAAGTGACTAAACATCAACTTACTTGAAATCAGCTAGTCTTAATTCATGATGAGATTCATATAATTCCTACACAATTTTCTTTGATTTGTTATTTTGCCAGTAACATCCAACAAGAAATTCTATCTTCGCGAAAATTGAAAGTGTTCCATACAGTTAAGTGAACTTCAGGTGTTAGAACTTAGGGGGAAAGAAAACCTTATATGATCGAAGTTTCACAGTTTTTTGCACCCACTAACAATATCCATCTTCAATCTTTGCGGAGTATCTGAACGCTCAGAGTCAGGGACCTGTGCCACTTACGTATGAATTCATAGACTTCAGAGTTGAGCTACTTGATTCGTGAATGCTTTTCTCTAAGATAATGAAGTGTGGCTTTCTTTGATGAAATTATCAGACACTTTTTCGGAAAAAGTCCATGTTTTACGAGACAAATGGATAAGAACCCTGTTTGTGCTGGTCACATTCAGTGAACTAAGAGCTTGATGGTCATGGCTGATACAAACAGATAAATTCAGAAAACAGTTATGAGTGGTTCACTTCACTCAGTAGTGTGTAAGGACAGTTTCAACTAAGGAAGGCGAACCGTTCCATCCGCATTGAAAATCTCCTGTTTTCACTCATATGTATGAAATGCAGCTAGTTTAAGCATACCACTGTAAATCATAGGCTAGTTTTAGCAGTAAAGGTGTGATCTGAAACATCCTGTTGGATCCATTTTGTCAGCAGTTCTTTGCGAATTGTACTACTCGTTAGTAATGAGTAGTATCATTTGAACTTTTGAATTTACACGCATACAAAATACTTGTAGGTATACGTTAGGGTTTGCTAACTTGATGAATGCAGATTACTTTCCATTGGATTTGCAGTGATGAAAGTTAATGCAGTTAGATTTGTGACATGACCACGTTGTATATATGAATGAACTCTTGAACGATAACCCCAGACTCCACCTTTGAGGTTCGCTGGGTTCCTCCGGAACAGAAAGAAGCAGGCAAAATGATAAAAAGTTTATTGCCAAGTCGAATATGTACAAAAAGTAACGGCTTGTATATGTTTTCAATAGACTTGACATGTTATACAGTGTTATAGTAAACTTTTTAGCCAATCTGACGCTCACAAATATGGTCATATGGTTTTTCGCGAATGTTTGGGAGGCCGTGACTGGTGTTCAAAGCTTTTAAGAAAATTCTAGACTTGTTTAAAGAATCTGAAGAATATTATCTCATTGTAAAACGATTTGTTGTGCATAAATTGTTGTTAGTTAGATATGGAGATTGCTATCGGTTTGATAGAACGAAGAAACAACCAACCTAACGTATTGATTAGAAAATTCAGATGTTTTTTCAAGAATATGCCTCTTTTTTTTAGCATAGTTCATTGAAGTATTTATCTGAACAGATAGATGGAGAGAAACAAAAATCTAAGACTCATGAATCTCAGTGGATCTGTACCTTCTGTTATAATGAACATCGGGATGTTAACAAGATCTTTACATGAGTTAAAATAGAGAAGTAGAAAAGAAAACTTAGAATCAATAGTAGAAAGGAGGAAGTTTCAGGAGCGCAGTGGATGAAAAATGATAGTAAAACATGACAGTATACGACATGGTCAATGTTTTGACAGGAGACAAGATTCTATGTAAATCTTTCTGACTTAAACGCATACCAGAATAATAGTGCAGTATATTTTTGAGTTGCTCAGCAAAAAATACAATGAACTAATCATATTGTTTTTCACTCTACTTGTTATCCAGAATGAATACACATTCACATTGGGCATATTTGAACAAGATATTTTTGGAGTTGTTGAAATAATTGGAACATTAGTAGCACAACAATTCACATTACTACCGACAAACGAATGGACAGAAATAAAAATGGATAGAGATAATAATCATTATCAAAATAAAATAAAGTAAGTCCTGTTTTTTATGATGAATTATAAATGGTTACTTATTTATACGTCCAGTGATAATCCTAATGATAACGTTACTGAAACATACAGATCGGTAACAGTATGTGTATAGCTGATACTGTGACCTTGAAATGTTTCAGAACTATATTATAGTACCAGAAGGGAAAGCGATACTCATTACTCTGCGGAGATTCTCTCGTAACCATCTTCAGAAATGATGAAGATATCTTAAACCGCACCTACAACCTCTATCAATTAACCGAAACTAGGTATAGATGTCAGTAGGTTTGGTTATATGGACCGTAATTTATCTAAGTGAACGTATCACTCTGTACGTTTACTGGGAAACTGATTCATCACGCAGTGTAGGCCCTGGTTTCAGCTAACTGAGGTGTACAGATCACACGAGTTTATGCCATAAAGTGTTGTCATGACAAAAAGAATGAATCCAACACTTTTCTTGACTGAAACACTGCTAAAAATTTCATTGATTTCTTTCTAACTGACCTCCTGATTTACAGATGCTATGCTTATTTCTGTTCCACTGAAAAACCGCTGTAAAGAAAGTAGACCATTACCTGGTAGCTTCATTTGTATGAATTCGTTACAGCGTTTGAGGATGATTCGTCGCAAACAAAATTTTCTTCACCGGATTGTTTATTTTAACCTTAGCACACTGATATAAGATATTTTAAGATATCTTTGTTCTTCAAGGAGAAAATTATTTCATTCCATACTACCTTAACAAAAATCTAAAGACACAAAGAAACATCGTGTATTTCTTTATATTTCTCCGTGGTATTTGATTAGGTCGCTAACCAAGGAGCTTCGATCAAAAATGGTGTTGATTAAATAGATTAACTAACACCCTCATAGTACTTTTAGACTTGAATGGCTTCAATAAGATTCCGTCCTCATCACTCATGGATTTCAATAAATAAGATATCATTGATTATTCGAATGCTAAGTTGACTTAGATATCTATAAAAGGACAGCGTTGATCCTTAATTTATCGGCTTTGAAATTAGGATGTCTAGTTACGTTTAGGGTCGAGATGATAAAGGACGTTGCATATCATTGTTGTTATCATCAATTGCGAACTTAAAAGACTGAAAAGAAAATTGTGAAATTTCATCTTGACTTCTTCAAATAAACGTTTGGTTTGACTAAGGTATCGATAAAGATATTGTAAGAGAGGAAATGACGGATAATTTTATGCCATCTTTGCTACATGCTTTCCGTACTCACTCATAATTCAGTATCTAGTCAACGACATGTAGATCCTAATGGGATTCAACAAAATAGTAGCCGAAAACTTGTATTGAATTCCACACTTTCTGAAACAGATATTTATTCATTGAGCTCATTTTGCTATTATTATTGACTATATGCTGCTTTTCTAATCAGATTACTACTGCATATCCGCACATAGTATCCACCAGAATCAGTAGTTTAGAATGAGACAAGAAGAACTAGAGCTGTATTTTTGCTAGCGTATTTCAGTCAATCTCATAAGTCCAACTAAACAATTCGCCAGCAGTTTACCACTCACTTTGGATAAGCCCACTTAAACAACAACGACAAACAGCTCAATGATGCTTTCTATAACTAAAGCACTGGGTGGAGCAAGTTTGAATCTCACAGTGACGTCGCCTCTGCCAAGGTTATAGATGCACCTTACTGATGAGTGACAACAAGCAGGAAACCTATGCCGTGCAGGGATTCCTGCCAATTGCATCCATTCGACTTTATTTATAACACCCATCGAAGTACACTGGTGTACTGAGCCTCCTAGTTTGATGTCTACACTACAAATGGAGTGGTAGACTTGGGTTGACACTTAGGACTAGTCAACATGAGATTGGTTGCTTTCCAGTGACCAGCTGGTGTCTAAAATACCTGTCTGAATGCGCTTTTTTGAATAGCTTGAAAATAACTCATTAAGTCACGTATATATGGAACTATTACATCCTAATATTACACTTGTATACAAACATTTCAGCATAGTGTAGGTTAGAAGAATAGTTCCACTTTTCAACCTTTCAGTCAAGTATGTACATTTATACCACGTCTCTAGATATGTAGTCACAGAGTCCATTATAGTAGATTATATTAGAGATGAGTGATTCAGTGAGACTACTGTTTTCATTAGACGTACTATTCTTACTGTGAAGTAATCATTCCAAGTAAACCAAAGTAACTGTTGAAAATCTGTTGCTATGAGCCTCAAAGTAATACGATATGTAGTGAGGATTTTTCTACATTTCTAGAGCATATGGGACAATCCATGGTTTTCAGTCGATTAGTGAGTGGATTATAGATTTTATGAGTTCTGTTCGAGAAAAAATGAACACAAAGGCATCAAAGTATTGTATGTCTGTCATGGTAATCTATTCTATAGATATTAAGAATTCTATTCGACGCCGAAATTCATTATTGCAAGGCGTACTGCTGGCATGTAAGTTACAACCTTCAAGTAACTAGCTGTCAGCATGACGGTCCTGTGTTCAATTCCCCTTGAGGTAGAGGGCGTATACTGCTAAGGAGTCTAATATTAGAAAAAAGTAGCTGTTCAGCACTCCTGTGTTCCAGGTGGTTCTCCGATGATGTCAGTCCCTGATGAATACTCTACCGTGAAAATAATCAGTTACCACCAACCTGCCAAGTGAATCAATATATAATATAAGCACTATAAGAATATACAGATCCTTCATGGTAGGTAGAACTCCATAACTCTTCAAAAATCACTGAGGAACGGTCTGTAAATCTCAGGGAATCGCAAAGGACATCATGTATATATATACCATTGTATTTTACATACACGTTTTGATGTTCCGATACACCTGCTGTTGTTTTACTAACTTTTCTGTGTTGCGATGAAGTGACAGATCTTTAGGGATGAAATCGGGAGGTATTCAAGCGTCCACACGTATGTACCACGTTATGTCAAAATTAACTATGTTGATAAAATTTAAAGAGACGGGAACGATATCGCAACAGAAGATTTATTTCATGAAATTCATTGAGTTAGAATATCAAACAATGTGTCGAAAGTGGAAGTTGTATCTTCTCTGTCATCTATACACTAAATCGTAGTCAAATATGGGGAAAAATGAATCGTTTGAGAGTACTTAAAAGTATCATTAAATATGTCTTTCATTTTTTTACCATATAGATAATCCGACAATATGTATACAACTTTCAAGGTTATCTGACATCTACAAACCAAATTCAGAGAGATTTTGTTGAAATCAGCTGTAAAAGAGATAATAACGTAAGCGTATAAGATGCAGAATAAGTTTGAGAAGAGATACACTCCACTAGACAGTTTTTGAAGAGCATCACTTTAAAACCAGCTCTCCCCATGAAAATTTTACCAAAAGCTGAGTATAGCCTTTTGATACATCTGAAAATGCAATACGATTCTGGTATAGGTGGTCGATAAGTGATTATTTTCCAAACAAGTGTAAAAACTAAAAACTGTTTATCCAGTTAAACCTGTTGTGTCTTCACTTGAAGTCGTTGACTCTCAAACAAATAATAACCGATTAGGATATATGGCTGTTTGTTGATATGCTCATAATTCTCTGTTGTTTAACTGGATCGAATTGTTCGTTTTGGATTCCTTTGCTAGCCATAACTAAGCATATTGTCACAATAAATATTCAGGCACTATCTAGGCATCCACATACGAGCCCATATGACAACAAAGACCAAGCAGTTCGATCAAGTAAAACAACGGAGAGTTAGAATCATAACAATAAGTAGTTGTATTTAATACTCGTAGTACAAGAGGTGCCCATCGTGCTTTAGTGGGCTTGTGGATAACGCTTTGTTGTTTGAGACGATGGATACGAGGTTAGAGTCTCAGTGGGAGCAAGGTTACTCACTAGGGTGCATCTAGCTATCAAGTCACAAATAGGACGAAACATGTGTTCTAGATTCCTCTGCTAACCACAACCAACCATATTATGCTAAACATATATCTAAAAGAACTCAGAACTGACAACTATGTCTTCAGGTGTCAGATGAATACTTGTGAAAATAAAAATTTCGTGAAACAGTTAGAAATGAAAAAGGAATCTGAAAGGAATTGAGTTATTTGAAACCCAGACAACTCAACTTCCCTTGTTAAGTTTTTAACATAAAACTGCGCAAAAACGGCTAATAAAAGCCCAACAATATTCTAATGAGTTAATTTTAGGTGCAATTTTGTAATTAAATTTCTTATTCAAGACAAACATTTTAAGCTTGAAATTATGAGAGTAAATAAGTATATTGAATCGTAAGACCTAGTGAAAAAATTGTACACGAGACAGTTTCATTAGGGTGGAAAAGTCTTAAAACGATACATTACAGTGTGAAAATGAATTTGTAAAGTTCAGAGAGGTTTAATTATGTTACTATTGTGTACATTGTATTCTATTAAACCTGTGGACTAGTATCCATATGTAACTTTTATGAGAACATGTATAATTGGATTCGAATGACTGAAAATTCCCACTGCTGAAACAAGAAGAGAACACGCTAGCGGAAAACACTGTTTTCAGTTACAGTCACACTTGTCCATATAATCTCATTTTTGTATAAAACATTTAGTTTATCATAAGAATTTCGAACCTGTTGTAAGTAGCGAGGTAGTGAGTGAAATAAGCGAGTAGCATAAAATGGCTTTCAATTGAAGTCTTTAAGCAGTTGCTGAAGTCAGTACACGTCGAAATTCACTCTGTATTATGTTACAAGGTTAAGCATTTATATTACACTACTAAATAGAGCGAAATCTTATACAACAATCATTAAGAGAAAGCTAAGGTCTGCAGTCAGAAAAACATATTGCCCAGTTACACTTATCATAATAAAGAATGAAAAGTTGTAGTACAGACGTCGCTCGTCACGGCATAAACGATTGTGGTGCATATCACTGAGTTTACTAGTTTATATGTGCATGCATGCGTAAATAAAGAAAGCTAAACAAGATATGCACTCGTGGGTGGTGAAAC